AAAAAAAGAGGGGGGGAAGGAGAAATACTGTATTGGGGTTTAAATGCGAGGCAAACTTTTTAGCTGGAGGGGTGCTGGGAGAAAATACTTCAGCGGCGTGAAGTTTTGGTGCGTGTCAGGAGCAAGTCGGAGCCTCTCGTGTCGCCTAACTTCCCCGCTGGAAGTTTAGGCTCTAAAGTGAACCTTATTCCTGCTTCCCTCGCTCGCTCGCTCTCTCTCTCTCTGGCGGTAACAAATAAGAAAGGGGGGGAGGAGATTGATGTATTTATTTCTGTAAAAGAGTAAACTCACTATTGCAAGAGTTCATCCGCTGCATCCAGGGGTAAACCGGGGCGGAACACTTTTGCTCCTCGCTCTCTCCGAACACAGTTTTGCTCTGCGCGCAGTCCGACTTGCGCGGCTCGGGGGCGAAGGGCACCTCGTCCAGGTTGGGGGGGGCGCACGCAGGGTCCTTCTCCCTGAAAAACCCGCCGGCCCCATAGTCACAGGCGGAGCTGCGGCTGTAGGCTCCGTTGCTTTGCTGGTAGTAAGGAGAAGAGGTATAGCCCTTCTCCTGGACGCCCGTGGCTCCATAGGTGGTGGGGTAGTGCCTCAAAGGATCCGCATAGCCCGAGGGATATAGCGGGATCTGTCCCAGGAAGGGCTCCTGCCCCGCCGCCAGACTCACCGGGAAGGTCGAGTTGACAAAATAAGAACTCATTGGAAGGAGCCTGCCGTCCTTTCCCGGCTTTATGATTTGTTGTGTTTTATAGTCCAAGTGGTTTAGCTATTAGTAGTATATCGGAGATTGGGTTTTAGCTGAAGGGAGATGGCGTGGTGCCAGCGAGGGACACAAGGAAATACAACCATCTGATCATGGGCTGACCAATAGCAGGCGCCTGAGGTTGCAAAATAGCACCCATGAGGAGCTGAGATTGCACCAGGGACCCCAAGAACAAACCATCCACCCCCTTTTCCCTCCCTTTTAAACAACAGAAATGCACCCCCTTAACCAAATATATAATATCTGCCGAAAGAAACATTCCCGGCGCGCTCGGAGCTTCATAAATAAATAAACGTGCCCCCCCCTCCCCCGAGCTCAGCGCGGGGGTGTGCGAGAGCCCGGCTGCACGGACGGCGGTGTGCGCGCCTATAGATATTTACACACATGTAACGTATACAAATACTCGCTGTAAGTGGGGGAAAAAGTTAATTATCCGCATTCGGAAAACTTTAACCCCTGGTGTTTGCAAATCGTCCTGAAATGTCTGGGTACTTTGCTGCAGTTGGGGGGGGGGGAAGAAGAAAGAAAAAAAAAAAGGGGGAAAAAGTTTTTGTGTGTGTATGTGCGAGCTTTGCAAGGAGGAGATCCCGTCGGGTTGATTAACTTAGATTTGCTATAGGAGAAGAAATTGGTTTTGACAACTTATTTCGGTTCACGTTTGTCTAATTACCATAGATTAGCATTCCCTGTTCAGGAAAGCTGCACTCGCTTGAACCAAACCTTCGCTTTTCATATATTGCATCTTTTCCCTATCTTTCCGCAAAAGCTCCGTACTCGGGAGATAAATGGAAAATCGAAGTATTTCCTTTATCCCTTGCTAAATCCCAATCTTCTCCGGAGTCCGGTACCGCATTGTGCCCTCTTGCGTTTTTTTGTTAATACCAAATCTATACCCGACCTTTTATGGCTAAAAGGAAGCCTTGGGTTACGGTCAAAAGCTGAGTTTATTGATTGTTACCGATCGAGATTTTTTTTACCTTTTTTTTTTTTTTTTTTTAACGAGAAGAAAGCTGGTGGTGTGATGGGGCTGCAGCCTTGGAAGTGCGCAGAGACCCCCTGGGTTTGCATCCCCGCTTTCAGCCCGTCCCCAGTGCAAAATACCTATTCTTGCAAAGTTAAAAGGCTGGCAAGGATAATTCCGAAAATCTCAAGCAATTCCCGGTCAGCCTAAAAGCTGGACTTTGCTCTGGGGTTTGCCTCTCTCCGTTTTGCCCGCATTTCCTCGCCAGAGATGTGCTCTGCTCTACCTGGTGCATCCCCCCTCAGATCCCTGTTTGCTCAAGGTAGAGTTGGATCTCTGACCACCGTCTTCCCTTTTTTCCCATGAGAAAATCAGAGCGACTGGGGGGGGGAGAGAAAAAAACCCACAACCCCCAAACACCACCACCACTACCACCCCAATTAATCCCAGGACTGTCCCCCCATCATTCGCGGTTTATCAAGGATTTGTTTCCTGTCCGAATTTGTAGCCATCTGTCTGTCGGATATTATATGCAATGAAATGACACGCCTTATAATACACACTCCCCTGTACTTGAATCTGTGAATGTGTGTGCTACAAATCTAGAATTACATATATTACATGGTGTCTGTAGAGCTGCCAATGCGGCTTTCTCTGACGGAGCTTTAAGTATCTACGAAACTGGTATCTTATTACGGGCTAATTTATTTTAAACATCATGTTTACAGCAGCAAAGCCAAGATTGTTTCATGCCACGGCTGCAATGAACATTTCGACTGAAACGTAATCCTTATAATTCAAGGAAATAACATGCAAAGGAAGTAGTTTTCCATCCTCCACCCCCTCTTTGACTGATATCTCTTATATTTGTTCTTGCAGAGTTTCCCTTTGTGTATGGAATGGACCCAAACTTACGTAGATCTGCTTTATTGGTATGCAAGAAAAAAAAAGTGAGATTGAAAGGGAACGATGACTAGAGAAGAGGAAAAAAAAAAAAAAAAAAAAGGCTCGGATGAGAGCCTGAAGTTAACTGCTTTGCAGGAGCCGAACAGCTCATACATTTGATTAGAGTTACGCAATATTTGTAGCTCTGCAAACCCAGCGATTATCTGGCATGATCAGCTCCGCATGCAGATTTTGGGCTAAGAAATGGGATGTCCTGATAATTCAATGCGTGAGTACATCTGCTGAAAATGTTTGCTCTAATGTTTTCTCTCACTTCTCGTGATTGCGCTGCAAATAAATCCCTCGAAATAGTTTAGAAAAAATCCCCCTCCCCCCAAGTTTTACCGTATTAAAACACTGCTCATCCTAGTACTTTTGTGGCTAAAACAGGCTTTTTAGGTAGTTTGACAGTCGACATTTTAAAAGAAAATAAAAATGCACTAATTGAATGTGGCCGCTTGCTAATTGCTTATTGCTGTCGTTTTGAACGCGATATAGATAAAACCCAATACGTCCTGCCTCTTAGAAGAGAATTCGATGGCTATTTGTAGAGGAAAAGAAAATAAGAAAACTTGGTTCTCAACGTGAAAAAAACCCCAAGCCTGTCATCGTTTTCATCTTCCGGACGGTCAGGCCCGCGGTCTAATTGATTTCCCACCTCTAATACATGTAAATACGAGCAGAGGGCTGAAACCGCGCTAGATCTCAGAGAACGGAATGTTTAGCGCAGAGCTGGTTTCTATCCCCGTTCAATAGCTTTACCAAAAATATAAAATTAAATTTAAAAAAATTAAAATGTTAGGTTATTAGTGTAGCTGTTGAACAGACGCTCTCCTCCCTTCCCCGCTACAGTCCGAAGGTAAATCTGAGACCGATTTTGCGAATATATTTTCTTTGGACGCCTCTAGCGCCAGCCCAGCCGGGAGGGACGCAGACACAGAGCAGTAACGGTTGCAGAAACGAGCCTGTACAGTAGCCCTTAAGTTAGCCCCGTCTTTGAGGACACCGATGGGCACATCTTTATTCAGTCTTTGGCCTCATCTCCTCAAAAACAGGGGCAGGGTTTGCTAAGAAGGAGCAATAAAGCAGGGAAGTTGCGAGAGACACCAGAAGGTGGTATAACACATTTCACTGCGCTGGGAAAGCGGCTTTCCCCTCCTGACAGGCATCACTCAAACGGCGGGGTAGAAATACAGATAAAGAGAAGTATTTACAGTATGTAGAGCCCCAGGTCTCTGCCCAGGAAGGTCCCACTTTTGGTCGCTTTGCTTTTCTGGCCAGTAAACACCAACCCCACCAAGCAGAGCCAGGCAGATAGATGAGGGGATTAAAACAACACCCAAATATTTCAAAATGCAAACAGAACAGAGCATTGCTTGTGTGAAAGCTAAACCCGCTAAGAACTTGGTAGAAAGTTCAGTGCAGTTGGTTCCAATAAAAAATGAAACTCTCTTTTTTTCATGGGGAGCTGGAATTCCCGATCCTTCTGAAGTGAGAACACAGCGGGGGTTTCCCTACCGAGGGACTTATTGCAGCCATAAAGTCAAGCCAACATCACGAGAACACTTGAAAAAAACCCTTGTTCCTGGAGTCAGACACAGAAAGCCATTGGCAGCAGAGAAGCCTTCCCTGTAATGCTCATGCACACCCAAAATCACATCGGAAAAAAACCCCCAACAGAGCCATGTAGAGTTCCAGGGTTGGAGTATTTAAAACAATGACCCCTGAAGGTGTAAAAAAATACCCGCTCTCCCCTCGCATAACCGCCTGAAACTTAATTTCCAGCAATTTAAGTTTAATTTACCTGACTTCCCGTGCAGTGCATAATAACCTTGTTAATGGGATCTTTGAAAAGAAGCAATAATAATCTACCATTGTTCCATTAAAGAGTGCAGCTAATTATTAACAAAAAAAAGGGGAGGGGGAAGGGGGGAGGGCAGGAGGGGGAGAGGGACATTGGGGGAGTCAAAATGCATCCAGACCGCAGTATTTCGGCGAAAGCAAGCCCTGGGAAGGGGAAAGGGGGGGGTGCTGGTCAAATGCTACTGGGAAAGCAGGGAGAAGGAGAGGAAAAGGCGAGACGGATCATGTAATGCGGAGGGCGAATGGTGGGGGGTGTTGGGAATTACAGCATGGAACAAGTTAATCATGGCTGTTGCTGGTCAAAAGAGAGAAACTTTTTTTTTCCTCCTTTTTTTTTTTTTTTTTTTTTTTTTTTTTAAAATACCCCTGGGCCTTT